CGGTTACGAGGCCCCTGGTAGAAGCTGAGCACCCCACTCCTCCCCATAAAGCCTTATCGAGCCTATACACCCTAAACCCTAAACTTTTTTAGGCTTGGGGGTTTAGGGTTCCTTGGCCGTGTGGAGGCCATGAAGGCCGCTAGGGTAGAAAATTTCCTAAACCCGAAACCCTAAACCGCTAGGGCCCTAAACCCTAAAACCGCTAGGGCCCTAAACCCTAAACCCTAAACCCTAAACCCTAAACCCTTGCGTGAGTTCAGGGCTGCGCCAGAGCTGGAGTTTCCAGGGCCCTCAAGTGGGAGCGGGTGCTGCCCTCGAGGGGTCTCGGGGCTTTTTAGGGAAGCCCTAGGGTTGATGATATAAACCCTGCATTAGGGTTTAGGGTTTAGGGTTTAGGGTTTAGGGTTTAGGTTTTAGGGTTTAGGGTTTAGGGTTTAGGGTTTAGGGTTTAGGGTTTAGGGTTTAGGGTAATCATTAGCCCATGATAAGGAACATACCAGAATGACCCTTATTCCCGTAGTTTGGGGTCCTTAAGGTGATGCAGGATTTATATATCATCAACAGTAGGATCATAAATCCTCTACAAGCCTCTTGTAAAGTGTGATGAATTGCTTACCCAAAGGCCCCATAGTAGTTCCTTTTGGGGTTACCTTATAGGATTCTATATATCAATGCCAAAAAGGAACTACGTTAGGGCCTATGGGTAAGCACCGATAGTGCGCTTTGGTATGTGTGGGATTTCAGGGGGCCTCAACACGAGAGAGTTTTAAAGGGTTGTTATGCGGTCGTAGGGGCTTTCATGGGGTTTGAGAAGGGTTTGTCAGGGTTTGGGGAGCTTGAGCAAATCAAGGTGCGCTTGTGCATACCGCCATGTCAAGTGTTAGTAGCGTCCCTCATTCGAAACCCTAAACCTTAAAACTAACTCCTAAACCCCAACACCCTAAACCCTAAGCCCCGGAAGCCATCCCGAGTGAGCCAAAGCGCACGGTCTCCCTGTGTCTTGCAAAGCCCAGGCACGGCTGTGAACTTGAATCGCTTCACCCTTCACCCAGTCTTTTTACGTGTGGTTCTTAGGATTTTGGGCTTCTTGTTTATTAGGAACCCAAAAAGGACATAAGCATAAGCATTTTATAGGGATATCCCTACCTTATTGGGCTTCATTATAAGGGGATTTAGATGGGATATCCCGATCCTATATTTTAACTTATATGCTTTTGCGGGGGCCTAGTTTAGGGCTCATGATGGTAGGGACTCGATGTTTCGCTGACTCTCATCTCCTAGGTTCTCCAGTAGTACCCTTTTGCCCTTTTTCTTTTGGGGTTCCCCTATTAAAACCAAATAGTAGGAAAAAGGGTACCCTTATTATTAAGGGGCTGCTGGGGAACCTAGTCTCTTTTTGTGTACCTACGACTTGTCATCGTGTCTCACATGTGTTGTTGTCAAAGCCTCGGCACGACAGGTGGCTTACCTTCGAGGGCATCTCCGTTTCCATGCTGCTGGCCTGCCTGCACACGTGTTGGGGACAATTTCGGAACTTCTGGGCAGATAGTCTGAAGAGTAGTGACCTCCAATCCCAGCACAACTCTCGCAGAAAGCCCAGCCAAGGCACTTCTGGCATTCTACTCTTTCTTTTGCTTCTGAACTAGTTATGTTAGCCAGGTGCGTGTACGTATGATGCTGTTATATATATATATATATATGCACGTATGTATGTATGTATGTATGTATGTATGTATGTATGTATGTATGTATGTGTATGTATGTTT